TAAACCAATATTGATCACAAAGAAGGGCCATGCAGATAGGCCAACCACATAGCTTAGAGTCAAATCTCAACCAATATTACTAGTAGGCTCTCACGAAGGTTGGTGCCACTACTACCAACATCTGGGAAAAACATCCAGGGACCCAGGTAGAAGGACCCACAACTTCGCCCTCTTCTCCAAGATTTGAGGAAAAAACTTGACCAATCTGGAGGAAAAGCCTCTGTGCCACCACCCCAATGACTGAAAACTGGGCACAGTAAGGACTCCTTAGCTCCACTAGTAGAATCTGGGGGATAATGCACAATGGGGAGTCCTGAGAAACAGTGCAATAGGTGAACCAAATTCCCTAAATTTGTAAAAGCAAACTGACACCACTTTATTCAATTCAATGATCAGCAGGGATGGGCATGATCCCCTTTAGTTTACTCATGAAAGTCCATGAGCGGTGGTCCAGCATAATATGGTAATACCACCTGGTAAGCTCCTAGATGGTCTTATTGAACACCTCATTTCTACAGAGCCTGTTGCAACCAGTAGTAAGTATAGTTAAATTTGTTGCAAGTGTGGAATTGGATTAATAGAAGCATACCCATCTGGGCAACACTCACCAAAGAATGGGATCCATTGAAAAAAAAAGAGGTAAGAGACCCTGGAAAGTAAAGAGATAGGAGGACAAAAATACTCACTTCTTGTAATCTAGCAGATATTGTCAAAACAGCCACAGGGGGTAATCAAAAACCCTCAGAAGAAGAAACTGCAGATTGTGTAAAGAATGTGAGAGAAAAGTATTGAGAGAAGGCCATACATCAGCTGGTGTGATGTCCCTCAGCAAGTAATTCAAGCAGTAGTTAAAAACATATAAGTGTGAGAAATCTGATGAGATGTGACTCAGAAATTTCCTCATCTGTACAGAAAGTCCAGAATAAGCAATGCAGACCAATTTGCGAAGCCACCTCGTCAAAGTAGTTGGGGAGAAATCTTGAGAAACTGAAGGATCCAATGAAGAATCGGGTTCCCTCAACTGGAAAGAAGTTAGTGCAAGCCACATAACACCTCAGGGCTCTATAGGACATAACAAACGATCAGTGTCTGATTGGTTAGAGAGGTGAGAAATAGCTGGCAAAAGAAGTGATGAGAAGGATTTATCCCATTCCCAGACTGCCAGAGCCTCAAAAAGAAAGGACCTATCAGGACAGAAGTGGAGTGATAAAAGAGTCCTGTGCACATGTAGTGCAAACAACTCTGACCTACAACATCCACTTGTCAGCAGCAACAAAAAATATCCATCAAGGGAAAGGTGATACATGGTACATGAGGCTAAAGGCTCGATTGGATGTTGAGACAAAGCATATAATACCACCCTAATATCCCATTTGGGAAGTTAAAAGGCCATTTGAGAAGGACTCTAAATGATTGAAGAAGGCTGGATAGCACTGGGGATTCAAAAACTTCATTGTTTAGAATAACAAAAAGTAGTTGATAAAGCTACTTTATATAAAACACAAATATACAAAGCTAGACCAGAGTAAAACACCAGGTCAAAAAATGAGATATGATAGGCACATTTGGGTGAAGTGGGATGAATTTTCTCATGAGACAAGTCTGTCATTTCCCTTGATAAATGGCCATTGTGGATCTACAGATACATTGAGACAAACAAAAGGCAACTTTAGAAGTTAAACCCTGATGCCATGCAAAGGACTGCGTAACTTCCATACATGAAGTTTGAGATTGGGAAAGTTAGAGTGTAGAATGTTGGATTAAGGTTGCCTCAACAGATATAGCCAAAGAGGAAGAAAAACCATGGTTGGGCCAGCCAAACAGGGGCTACCAACAGCTCTCATGTAGAGGATCAATTCATACCCAGAACTCTGGATAACAGGCAAATTGGTGGAAAGGCATAGAGGTGCAATTCCATCCACTCTTGACTGAATGCATTCATCAAAAAAACCAGAGGATGAAGTACCAGGGACCAAAAATGCTTGTAGTTTCAAGTAGAGGATCAATTCATACCCGGAACTCTGGATAACAGGCAAATTGGTGGAAAGGCATAGAGGTGCAATTCCATCCACTCTTGACTGAATGCATTCATCAAAAAAGCCAGAGGATGAAGTACCAGGGACCAAAAATGCTTGTAGTTTCAATGAGTGGGGAATGCATCGATCATCAGAGTCCTGAACTGAGAGCAAATCTTCCAGAAACCTCGCAATGGAGCATCCATTCAATCGGGCCAAGACAGGTGATCTGCTATGAAATTCATCACCCCTGGAACATGGCAAGCCAGGAGACTCATATGATGGTAGTGAGCCCAGTGAAGAATATCCAAAGTTCAAAATCAAAGGTCCTGAGAACATGTGCCCACAGGATTGGAAATGCAAAAAACCACTGTGGAATGGACAGAATGCATCATCATGATTTTCCCCTGCAATAGATCTAGATCTTGAGCCATTACCAGTTGGACAGCAAGAACTTTTAAATTACTGATATGGAAAGAAGTCTTGTCATCCATCCATAAACCCTGGAATTTCTGACAGTCGATATAGGCACCCAATCTTGAGGTAAGGCATCTGTGAAGAAATTAAACTTGGTGTGATATAGGAACACAGATGGTAGTGTTGATTTGATCCAACCACCACTCAAAAACTAACATGTTGCTCCTGATGAAGGAGACTGGATAATCCATTGGACTAAAATTCCTGATCCACTGGTTGTACAGTGACCACTGAAGGGACCACATGTGTGCTCATCCCAAAAGAGATAGAACCATCCATGTAAGTAAGAGCCTGGCTGCCCATTCCATAGCCTGGAGCTGGATGGGAGTTGGTTGAGCCCAGCTTAAAACATGTTTAAAAAGACAACCAAATGGACAATATACTAAGTCAGCAAGAGAATGGATTTCTCAGCTCTTGGTGGCTTCTGAAAGGGGAATCTGGGTATGCTGTTCTACCAACTGACAAGATGGTGCCAGAAGTAACCAGCTTTTCAGATAAAGGAGTGTGCACATGACCAAAGTATGAAGATGATAAGAAAACCTCGTACAACTCTGCAGAAGACATATCATGCAGATGCTAGGTCAAAGGGTAGATCCCTGAACTGCAGAACCTGGCCCCTGTGCATGAAACAGATTGTGGCAGGATGAATTTGTTTTGAGAATGTGGAGATATGCATCAGCAATATTGAACTTGGTTATCCACAAACCTGGTGAAGAATGCCATCACAGGTTGAGAAAAGATCCCACTGTGAACCTGGGAGGATCTAAAAATTGGTTGAGATGAGAAAGATCAATGATCGGCTGCCAATCTCCCATCTTTTTGGGCACAACAAATAAATGGGAATAAAATCTTGGAAGAATGGGATTGACTCTCTCTACCACCCCCTTGACCAATAACTTTCTGATAGTCTTGGAACGAAGATCTACACTCCATGGATCTGTTGGGGTGGAAATACCACAGGTTCAGAGGATAACAAAGGTGGACAAGTTAACGGAATGACCAACCCTGATGCCAGAACCTAAAGTACCCATGGATCTGTGGTAAAGGAATTTCAAGTGTCTTTCAATTTTTATAACCTCACTCCCACAGAGGCTAGTCACTAATGCCATTGGCAAAGGTCTGCCCAAGTGAAGGACCCTTAAAACTAAGGGCAGAATCTATTCAAAGTATCCATAGAGAAAGGAACAGAAGCCAAGGGTCTGAACACATGATGAGCAGTCATGCCATGACTTCCAGCAGGAGTTAAAGAAAGTTTAGAAGCCAAAAACAACAATAAGGAAAAAAGCAAATGGGTGACATCAATTTGTAATTCCAATTCTTCTGGGCAACAGCAGGTAGATGAACAACAAGGCATTTCTACCCAATATATCCCAACAATATACAAGCCAGGAAACCAAAGACCCAAGTTGTCCTCAAATTTATGTGGTGACCACTGATAGGCTTCCAACAAAATTTGTTGGGGGGGGGGGGGAGAAACTCTCTGAACAGGAGTGTGGTTCCAGACTGGACCTTGTGTGATCATTTTGAACAGATCACAATTTTTCAGATTCATTTGACCTTCCATGATCTTATTTGTTTTGAGATGGAGACATATTCGGTCTGGAGGTATCTCTCTGGGGGGTTCTGAAGCTGCTTTTGCAAATGATTCTGGACAGTCTGGAGAGAATTTGGGTTTGTGATGTTTGGGGGTTTCTTCATTTGCCTTTGAATCTACTCCTTCCTTGATGGCTGAAAGGTCTGAGGGTGACTACTTAGTTTTTCCTCCTTCACCTGATATTGCTGTTCATGCAGGGAGATTTACTGCTCTATTACGTGATAGGATGGATATACCTTGTACCCCTCATTTTTCTGAATAGCATGCTTTGGCTTACCACTGCTAGGTGGACGTATATTTTGATTCCACAGACTAGATCCTCTTTTGGATATGTGGTACTCCACTCAGTTGCCCTTAGTGATATACTCTCCACCTATGTCAATGTGCCCTCTATCCTGTTACTGTGTATGAGCACCTCATTCATATAATTTTATCACTTTTTCTCGACAAAGCATTTAGACATGAGTTTTTCTACACAAGTGCTGTGATAATTAACATACCTGGTTGCGATTTTCACGTCACCTAATGGCTTTCTTTATAAATTATATTTAATAATTATTATTTAAAAAAAGAAATTAAAATGCCATTTTCGGTCATGAATTTACAGGTCACTGTTTCCAGCACAGAGGCTAATCAGCCATCCTCTATTCCACCTCTGTTAACTAGCATTTCTCAAAGGTCAGAGGAGCACTCTCAGTCGAGGCTGTTAAAAGGCTGGAGGAAGCAAGAAAACAATCAGACCAATGCTTAGATGGGCAAAGTTGAAAACCTGGAGGTCGAGGAATAGCTATAAGTGTCAGTGGATGGTATGTTTTGGAAGGTAATATTACTGAAGTTTAGAAGATTATGCAAGTGACCAAAAGGATGAAGGCCTCTGATTTCTTTGTACATTATTCTGAAGATAACAGAAAGATAGAATAAAGCTTAAGATTTGTAAATGACAAGTTAGGTCCAGATAAGTTTAATTTTTAAACCTAATGATTCACTTTTGGAATGAGTAGCTGTTGGTAGCAGAAGGACTTTACAGAGTCAATGATTTTCAGAAAAGTAAAGGGCAAATTTAAATTTTTACTTTCCCTAAGGATGAATGTGAAAGGAGATATTTTAAGGATGATAGTTGTCCGTACATTATGTTAATTGTCTACAGGCTTTATAGTTGACTGTAACTTAGCTCTAGCAACGTGAATTACATACTAGTCCCAGAATTCCTTGGCTCCCCATTACAAATAACTGAATCAGTTACTTAACATATAATTTCAAAAAAGCATATTTTACAGGAATCTAACAAGAATTAGGTTACCGAATTAAATGGAAATCCTGATCATTTCTTGAGTTTATTGGTGAGAACGGTAGAAGTAGGGGTCACAAACATAAATTTTGGCAAACATTCAAACAACAGATTTGTGATCAAAATCTTAACTAGTGCAGACAGCCACATATGCATAACAGTGTTGTAATCTTGTTTTTTCTTGGGTGGTTTTTTTTTAATTATTTGATGAAATAATTCCAAGTCCAATTCGATGTACCAATAGCAAATTAGTTTATTTCTTCTCTAACATCCTACACGCTTGTACCATATTGTAATTGTGGGCATAAATTCACAAATAATTCACTGCAATGATGGGAAGATTTAGATGACTATACAAGAGAAGGATTGGTAAAATGAGAAACTGGTCAATCAGAAAAACTATATAAAGAAAGGTTGACTAATTATTTAAAAACAAATAATAAGCAGTGCCTGAAGTTGGGGAGGGGGGTTCAATACATGATGCAATAAACATTTAAGGGAGTATAGGACTGGAGAGAGAAACAATATTTTCTTCTTAAAATGTCATGTAAGAATGAAGCAGGAATGACACAAAATAGTACACAGGTGAAGCAAATGAACCCTCTCACTACAAGCTTGGTCGGTGTGACTGAGTTCATAACCTCAAAGTAATCATCAGAGCTTCCTTATTATCACTCATAAGAGTATACATTTGTATATAATTAATTTTATTGTTTTATTGCCCTTTGAACCATGTCTAATTAATAATCCCATCACACAAGTTGTAAATTACTCGGTGAACATGTAGCTCACTTTACCATATTGAATTATGTAATTCATGAGCTGCTTCTGAGTACACCTTGTGAAGAATTTTATCATTAATTACTATTTTTCATTATCTTATCTAAACTTATCTTACCTAATGAGTTTCTAATTTTTATATTTTATTTACTTTTATAATAATAAAGATTACATGTGAAAAACAAGAAATATACTACTAGACTTCCAAAATTTCACAAATGATCCTCCTTCCCCTCTTCCCCCCACTTCAAGCACCGATATTAAAGATTTCTTCAAATACATTAAGGGTAAGCAAAATGTTACAATGGGAATAGGGCCTTTGAAGGATGACACTGGAAGGCTAATATCTGATGACTGTGGGATGGCTGGATTATTAAAATATTTTTTCTTCTGCTTTTACAAATGAAGATATAAGCAATATTCCTCATCCTGAACAATTGCTAAATCGAAACAAAACTGAACAAGGTTATCACACAAATTCTAAACTTGTTAAGAAAAAATTGGAGAAATTAAAAAGAATGATAGAGCACTTGGGCTAGATATTTACTCATGGGTTTCGAAAGAGGTTAAGGACTGGATATGTGAGACATCTGCTATAATTTTTTCAAAGTCCTTGAATAGTGGCCAGTGCCAGAAGACTGGAACTTAGCTAATTTTACTCCTCTTTTCAAGACAGGGGATAAAAATTGTCCCAGTAATTATAATCCTATTAATCTTGAATCAGGGGTGGATAAAGTTCTGGAAAATCTGACAAAAGATGCTTTGCAAAGTCATTTAACAAAGTTTACATTTTGTTGAATAGTCATCATGGTTTCACTAAGGGAAAACCTTGCTTAATAATATTTTGACATTCTATGAAAAGGTTAGCGCTTAAGTAGATTAGGGTACAGGTGCAGATGTGGTGTATCTAGGTCTTCAGAAAGCAATTGACAAGGCTTGTTGAAAAAAGTTATCTCTGTAGGTATAGAAGATAGGTTGACCAATTGGATAGAAAACTGACTAAATGGAAGCAAGTAAAGGGTTGTTATAAGTGGAGTTCGGTCTACTTTTTATAGCCTTCAATCTTCTTTGTTTATGGAAACATAAACTAGAAAGTTAGATCCACTTGCCACACTCACCTGTCACATCCTCTCTTTCACAAAATGCCAATAATTCTCTCTTACATTTTCTGTTATATCAATTATAACCAATAGAAAGACAGTTTTAATCTATCAAATGAGGTGTAATATTACATTGTTTTCAGTAAAAAGTAATGTCTATTTCATCTTCAGTTTGCAAGTTTTTCTCCCAGATTTCAGGTTGAAAAGCTAAGAGAAATATTTTAAGGCTTTTAGGAAACCAGATAAATTATTATAATTATAGGACATTGCCTTGCATGTGTTATTATTCCATGTTCTTAGGTGCATTCTTTAAATAAGTATAAATTATTTAATGTACTAGTACCATCATCATAAAAAATAAAGTAGACTTAAATATCTTCAGCAACCAGTGGCAAAAGGATTAAGATCTCAAACTTACATTCATATGTACTATATTTATTGTTTTTCATGCATATATTTTATTTATTGTTATAAAAGTAACTAAAATTTAAACATCAGAAACTTATTAGGTTGGATCAGGTAAAACAATGAAAAATAGTAATAATAATAATTTTCCATAAGGTTGTCAGATATAAAAGACTGTTTAGTGTAGGTTGTATTGTTAATTTTTTTTTGATTTGTGTTTGTAATTCATTGATGTCGAGGCTATTGAACTTTGTGTTCAATCCATTGATGTTGAGGCTATGGAGATTTCTAGAAGGCCTAAGTGATAGATGTAAAAATAGGTGCAACCAGACAAGCAAAAACTGCATAAAAGTCACCTGAAAGGAAGAGTTTGGTCAGAGAAAAGTTAAAAAAGTAACGTTAACCACAGTGGGAGTGAATGGCCTAACAGTCGATATTTTTGAGTAAGATTAACAGTTTTAAAGAGATAAGAAGAAGAATTTCTCTTGTCAAAGGGTGTTCTAAACTAATTGAACCTACTTGTGTGGACTTTGACAAAAGGCAGACAATTATTGGAAGTACGAAGAGCACATGATAATTAGAAGTATGAAAAGCAGGCGATTATTGGAAGTTCAGGATACAACTGAGGTAACTAACATGACAATGTAAGTGAATTATACACAGATACCATTGCAATGAAAATAAGAAAAAATAATTTGGCTTGTCAACTGAATTGGCATAAGTGGAATTTTGACATGAAGAAAAAAACTGTGTTTAAGATGCAACTATGATCTTCATAGTGTAAAAAATTTTGTACATATGTTTAACTTGTTTCAAATACACATTTTAAAAACAAGTGGAGTGGACTTTTGACATGAACAAGAGAACTGTGTTTAAGATGCAACTATGATCTTCATAGTGTAAAGAATTTTGTACATATGTTTAACTTGTTTCAAATACACATTTTAAAAACAAGTGGAGTGTGTGCTGTTTGTTTATTGTCAGCTTTATTGACAAAAAGTCACAGACACCTACTGTAGAAACATCCTTAGCCCAACACACCCATATATTATATATATACTACTAAAAGGTAGGTTCCCGACAGAGGTATGCCTATGTTGTGTGATTCAATATGGTAACTGGATTTACAACTTGTATGACAAGATTATTAGTTAAACAAAGTTCAAAGTACAATAAAACAATAAAATTAAGTAGAAACAGATTGAAACTGTTCTGAGACTTAAGCTATCTAGGATAAACAATTGTTGTTTCCTATTTCAATTTGCAGTCATTCTAAAAAGAAAAAGAGGGTAACTTAGGTTTATTTTATATTTTTTCATGGTGGTTACAAGATCAATCAAATCAACAGAGTTAGGGTACAAAAAATAATGGATAAAATCATAAGTTTAACTGAGAGAAAAAAAAGTTTTTGATGTTTAAGAGATTTTAGGGGTTACACATATGAAGTTTGAAAATTTTCAGATGAAGAAAAGTATTTTTAATCATAACATGAAAATCACTATGCACTCAAAGCAGTCAACACTCTAGCTCCATGTATTCATGGACAAATCTTTAGTAAAAATACTACATTAAAAAATATCATTTTTTGCGTATAAAAGACTCGTAATGTTTACTTAAAGCTTGCCCAATTTATTGGAAATATATATAGCATATTAAAATTTATAATATGGAAACTCTTGTGCTTACAAGATCGGTGTAATCCACAGCCCGGTGTGGAAAGTTAAGATTGTTAAAGGAATTGATAATAATGATGCACCATCTGTTTTCATACTTAATGGTGAGAATGGTATGACTAGGGAAGAAAAAGATAAATTTTGGTAAGGAAGAAGTCATCTTCAAGTATGACTAGCATTATTTTTCTAACAGTGTGGCTAGCCTATGGAATGGGTTGCCTTCAGATGTGGTAGGTGTAATTAACCTAAGTGAGCTTAAGGGAAAGCTTGATAAATATTTGAATGATAAGGGCTGGTTTTGAGGTTTTTTAGGGTTTAGTACAATCTCGTTGGAAGGGCAGCCTGTATAGACCAAAAGGTCTCTTGCTGTTCTTTAATGTAATGTTATGTTATAATATTCAAATATAAATACCTCACTATGGTATTAAAACTAACATAAAAATAAACTTACTTTTACAGTTCCAAGGCTAATCGGTTGAGTAACTGAATGAATATGATAACTAACATTGATGCAAATATATCACTGCTCTAAACTTATTAACTGCTCACTGATAAGATAGCCTTGTTTCTAGACACTTTTTAAAGTCTCTTGATCATTATATTCCTAAATGTTCTAGGTATTTTAGTACTAATTTAATATCATGCACCCTGTAGCTAACATCCAAATTAAAAGATTAAAAATATAGCTTACAACACTACCCACTTCCTAGGTTGTGGAGTCCTTTCAATAATCCTGAACCATTCTGTCCATTCACTCAATCTTTTTGGTGGTTTTCTACTGTCCCTCGTTGTTACTGGCTATCCTATCATTGGAGAAGATTTTTCTGGGTAAGTGATCAGGTGATTCTACTGGCAGCTCCATCCTTGATGATCCTCTGGAAGTGGTCTTAACAGAAACCCTGTACTCATTAGCAAGTAAAGTTGCTGCTGACAAATATTTCTCCAGAGTTACCCAGTTAGCTGTTCTCTCACCAATGTGTGTCCATAGATGATCATAGTGGATGATTTTTGGTTTGGATCATCTATCTTTCTAGATTCAGTAAACCAAGTCATTGATTCTTTTCACTACAACATGTGACCCCTTTCTACACACACTTAACTTTGGAGTTTGTTCTTTCCTGTGGTGGGGATAGCACAGACACATCATGTCACCCCAATGGAATCCAGTGTTATCAGCATTAATGTCATAGCAACTTTATATTTTATAGCTGGCTCATTTAACTCTTTCCCAAGTAAAGTTCCATAATCTTACTACATATTCTGTGTAAGACTTCTGAATAACTATTCTCTGGATGAGAGAATAGATGGTCCTTTGACACTTTAAGTTCTCTCCCAAAAATTAGTGATGATGCTGTACTGCCATTAGCTTCATGTATTGCTGTATAATAACTCCTGTAACAGTAAAAAATCCTGATTCCATATTTTCTGATGTTAATCCACACAACAGGCTAAATTATTTAATAATGTGCAGTTGTATCTGTCCATCATGTCCCAGAAGATGGATGAAAGGCTGTTGTCTTTGTCTTTTTGGTCCTAAGGATGTGACACATTCCCACAAAGAAGGCTGATTCAAAGTTCCATCCTTGTCAGTGGTATCCCATAGGTATGCCAAATCTTAAGACAACTTCATTGATAAATTTTCTCGATAGGTTCTGCTTGCTGGGTAAGAACAGCACATGCATTTGATCATTTGGTAAATTAGTCCATCTCAATCATGACGTAGCTATTCCCACTGTTACTCTGAGGCAAAGTACCAGTACATCGACAGCAACTTTTTCCAAGTGGTGCTCTAACACAATACTGGTGCAGTTGCTCTTGCTTTTTTTCATGAAACTTTTCACTCACAGCCAAATTTACATTTTACACAAATTATCTAGAGATCCCCAGCACTTAACCCAATAGAAGAACAGTCTTACTCATTCCAATATCTCTATACCACCTAAGTGCCCAGCTGTTGGAAAGTTGTGGAGATGATGAAGTGCTGTGGAATGTAGAGATCATGGAAGTATCTACTGTAGTAATTAGTTCTGTCCACTGGTATCTTCCCATTTTTGATGTAATTGTAGATATAATAAATACCAATGCACCAAATACAACTTTGTTTTTTAGGCTATTTGGAGCAACTATTTGCCATGAGGTTTTTCCTGTATTATTCTTGAGCCATGAATAACTGGTTTCATAGCCACATCTTTCAGTTGAGTAGTGAACCACTCTAGTTCTTCATAATCATTTATCTTTACTATTTGCACTTTCCTCTTTTCACAGTGTTTATTTTTTCAGCAACACATGGTCTTCAGGATAATAGTTCAACATTTCCATTCAGGGTAATACACTATGTTAAAGTCATACTCTTGGAGTTTTTGGAGCCATCCCACTTCAAGATTGTGAAAGTTAACATTTTCTTATACCAAAAATGTATTTCTGATAATACTTACCTCTTCTCACACTTTAGTTTTATCCCAAAGAAAGTTTCTCCTCTTTGCCCATATAAGCATTAGTATGAATCTTACCTCGCTTTCTCCAATCTTTATACCCCACTATACTGCCCATAGCAATTTAACTCTCTCAACATGGAGTTGGTCAACTTGACCGACCATGTGACCTCTTTGTACTCATTTAAAGTCTTTATAGATTTAATACTTCTAACTTTCAATGTAGTGTGTATATCTTCACAAAATTTGGCAGTCTTTCACATACAAAAAGTATTTTTAATAAACTAAAATAAAGATTTTTCAATGAATATATTGAGTATTTGTTTTGAATAGTCCACATGCAAAGTAATTTTAATGTTAAGGTTAAAAATAGTTTTTCTCATCTCAAAAATCTTTAATTTCCTTTGTGTAATACTAAAGCCTCCTAAATACATTTCAAATCTTTTTTTTCAGTAAAACTTTATATTTCATCTGTTATTTTCTCTACTCTAACTCAAAACAGGATTGGTCAGTCTGACTGACCTTCCACCCAAAAAAAATTTGAAATTACCCTTTTTTCTTTCTAGAATGACTTCAAATTGTAACAGAAAACTACATTCATTTATCCTAAATAGCTTTAAGCTTGTAACATTATACATCTATTTATTATTAAATTTCATTGTCTTTTTGCCATTTTGATTGCTGTTTGAACCATGTCCAACTACTATCCACACCATAATAAGTTGTAAATTACTCAGGGCAGGTGCAGCTAACGTTACGTATTTGAATTACATTACCAACATTCTGCTCGCATGCGTGCCTTGTGAAACATTTTTATTTTATTATTATTATAATCTATTTTATGTAATCTAATCTTAACTTACCTAAAAAGATCCCTATTTTTACATTTTAGTTACTTTTATAATAATAAATAAAGAATAAACATGAAAAACAAGAAATAAAAAAAAATAAAAAAAAATGAAAAGTAGCTGGCAAAGCTGCCTTATACAGATAAATGACTGAAGGTGCCAAACATTTGTAAAATAACCATGTCAGAAATAAAAAAAATGTGGCACAGTGGGACAAAAGGGATTAAAACCATGCCTGAGAGACCACAGACAATAAGTAAACCATTTTGTTTGATAAACATTCAATGAAAAATACCAAATGGACCACACTAATAAAGATGCCACCTGAGAGGTCAATCCACAACATTGTGCAATGGACCACATAAAAGCCAGGCATAAAGCCAGAAAATGGTGATCATCGGAGAAAGAATGTCTGACCAAGACTGGTGTAAGACAGATGGCCAGAGAGGAAGAAGTTGGCACTCCTGAAGATACTGAAGGAGTAGAAACAAACGCTGACCCAGCCAATATGGTGCCGCCAGAAGAATTCAACAGGATGAGAAGCAAATCAGTGCAAGAACCTTGGATAACAGAGGAATTGGAAGGAATGCATAAATATGAAGATCTGTCCAAACCTAGCCGAGAACATCTATGCCCAAAGCCCGTGGGTGAGCGACAGGAGACCAGAAGGATGGGAGCTGAGCTTTCTAGTGAGTGACAAATACATCAATCTGAGACATCTCAAGATAATAAAATATCCATTAAAAAACTTGTAAATTGACCCATCCATTCCATTGGGAAGAACTCTGTTGGGACGAGATAACTGATCAGCTACTAAATTCATAACAACTGGAACATGACAAGCAAGGAGAACAATCTAATGATTATGGGCCCAAAAGAGAAATTCCAATGCCTGAATACAAACAGACCTGGAGTGAGTGCCCCCTTGCTTGGAGATGTAGGAGACCAAACTGGAATTATCTGAGTGAAGCATTACCACCTTCCCCCACAACAATTCAAGAGCCTGAGACACGGCTTGTTGAACTGCTAGAAGCTCTAAAAGACTGATGTGGAGAAAAGATTCCTCTTCTGCCCAGAGGCCTTTGAATTCCATCTCTGCTACACAAGCTCCCCATCCCTGGAGAGAATCATCTGTAAAGATATATATATGGATGAGGGGGCAGGAGAGGGACATTTACTGTTGTATTGTCCCGGTTCAAACACCACACAACATTGAACTGGCAGGAAGTGGATAGGGTCACTGGACAAACCAGTGCACCCATGCAAATATTCCATTGGTCTCGTAACAACCACTGAAGGGAATACATGTGGACCTGACCCAAAGGAATGAATGATTCCAAGGATGCCCACATCCCCAAAAGAGATACAACTGTATGCACCAATGGAGAAGGAGACAACTGTATCAGAAGAATGGCCCATTCCATGATTTGAAGGCATAAAGGAAAAGGTTGGGCCTGACTGAGACATGAATTGAAAAATAGCCCTAAATGGATGAGGTACTGTGTGGGAGTAGAAACAGACTTCTCTTTTTCTATGAGAAACTCAGCTCTTGCAGCTTCGAAATGTGGAGTTTAAGTGGCAGGAAGGAATGAGAAGCCAGTCGTCCATATAATGGTGAATGTGAATGTCCAATGAGTGAAAAAAATCTGACTATCCAGCAAAAGATGTATGGGGCAGATGCAAGGCTGAATGGTAAAATGTGAAACTGAAAAATCTGTCTCTCATTCACAAAACAAAGATAACAATGTGAAGACTCCATGATCGGAATACGAAGCTAGGCATCAGCAACATTGAACTTTGTCATCCATAGACCAGGTGAAAAAAAATGACTCCATGCTAAACTGAATAGGCTGGAAGAAACGACTGAGAGGAGAAAAGTTGATGACAGGTCACCAATTGCCCATCTTCTTCGGAACTACTTTGAGTCACAAAGAATGAGACAAGACAGACAATTTACATGAGGAACCAATCTTTAATTTAAATCTTAAAAATTTACACAAGAACAAACAACAAAGTACTATTACACAATGGAGGGCAAGTGATTGTGTATGTATGTATGTATGTATATATGTATTAAAAACAAAAAGGTATGTGACTAGAAAGAGAGAGAGACAAAGACTTAATTAGATAATAGGCCCTTGCTGTGCATGTTCTCGAAACCATAAACAAAAACCTATGCTCCACTATTCTTGTAAAATCTATGGAAATTTAATATAAATCAGTGCCAAACTGCATAAATTCTTGTACAAATCTATGAAAAATCTACATAAAAATGTGTGTAAAATCTACTCTCTCAGACCCAAACACTGCTTTAAATATGAAAATAAACCTTCAAACTTCTAACATCATAAAACAATGATTGGTGTCTGACAGATTAGTTGGCTAACAGATTGCAAAGATAATGGGTGAATCTACCCATAACTACTGCCTGATTTGCTGACAAGAATAGTCTGGCTTGCTAATTAAACAGCACAGCATGTTGTTATTACTGCAAGAGAATCAAACAAGAAGGTACTTAATCTCCACTTGACCCAATTAACCCTAAAGGTAAATAAAAGCTAGAAATCCTCTTGGCCAATGCTGTATTTTAATTTTAGGAATAATAGTGAAAACAAAATCTAGCAAACTTAACTTTATAAACTGAAAGGAGTGTAATATACATAGTACCATGCTATAGTACACTTTATTGATTTCTGTATCTAGTCTGATAGTTAACGTCTAATAGAACAACTTCCCCAAAGCCATCTCTAAATTATCCTTAGTAAGAAGACTCTGTAAGTAAGTTGATTTCATCTTTCTGAACATTCTCAAAACTGCAGTCAAGCACAATCCTCAAATATCTCACAAATGTGGAACCTATCACATCCTATAAACTCCAACTATCTTATCTCTGAACCACCACTAACATTACTGAAGTTTTAGTCTTTATTCTCAATTATCATTCTAGCCACTAAAAATTTATATATTTAACTAAAATTATGTTATTTAACAGTTTAGAAATTAAACTCTGGATAAGTCTAATACTAAAATCCCCCTTTTAATTATCAATGATACTATTAGTATTAATTACACATACAAAATTACAGATGTACCCCAGGCCAAGTACATACAACTAATTACTAATTCTAAATTTTACTCGAGTATTTAAATGTTTTGCAACTCAAATATTTAATTCTGGTGCTGAAAACTGTTGCTGGTTTGGATAATCTACATATGGGTGGCTTATTTGAGTTGCAGGAAAAAAAAAAGCTGTGAATTCAAATTAGAATATCAGGAATATTATCTATAAGTTTGAGAAGCCTAAATCAATATTTATTTTCAGCAAAGTTATCTCTCTGTGAATTAAAAATTTATTTTCCGATGACTGTGTGTGTACTGCTTACATTTGTTAAATGTGTGTATAGAAGTGAAGGTTTACAATACTTAGATTTTGTTGTTGTGTTTAGTTTTTCTTTGAGGTAGGTAAAGAAGTGAAAATCAAATGGCTTTCTGTCACACTGCTCATATCTAAAATATTATAGGAAACTTTCATATCTTTCTTTCTACTAAAATGTTTATTGTTTTAAAAGACATGACTTATTATCTTGATATCATAAATCAAATTATATTTATAGAGAATTTTATTTCAGAGTGCATAATAGTTGATAAATTTTGCAAGATTTTGGTCAGGTCTCTATACTTAAGAAAGCCAGAATAAAGATTCAAAAATTTAGATGTACAGATAGGTTTAGTGTGGGAGCAAGGTACAAAGGTAGTTTTAATAGTAGGTTACACTATTATTATTGAAAAGCTAGAATTATAAGAATTTAAATAAATAAAATAGATGACCTTAGACATAGGGCAGTGGTCAGAACAGAGGATTTTGATACAAAAAAGAATAACTGAAACCTAGTTAAAAGTAAAAAAAAAAAATGATAACAGAAAGTTACATGAAATACAAAGTTATAGGTTGTCTTATATTTTTTCAGTCATAAGTTCCAATAAGATCATCCCTTACTCTTATTCTCTCAAAATGAAATAAGTTAGGAGATCTTAATCTATAGCTGTAAGTGTAACTTATAACTCTTCCATCCCTTCCCAGCATACTCCTCTGAACCTTTTACAATAAGTTGGTAAAAATAGTCATTTCACATACTATGTTTAGTTCTACACCCATGAAATGGAAAGCGGGTGTTAACAATTCACTAGTGTAAATTTATAATTTATATACTTCACCGGTTTCACTCACTTTCAGTAGTATTACTCACTGTTAGTATTACCATATGATTCACATGCAAACGCGGCAAAGCGTATTAACACTCAATAACAGTTATAACTACACCACTACATATCTAATTATAATAAAATTGCTTTTTCATTACATTTTTGTCAAAAAATCTACAAGGTTTGTTAATAAGATTACTTTAAGTTTAAAATTAATCTGCTCTTACCTCTCAATCGATAATCATGGAACCTTCTTCCCGAGTTGAAATATCTTATCGAGTTCAACTTCCTGTATTAACCTTTCATTCTGAAACTAAGAGTAACTGTAAGGGTAAATAACACTGTTACTGTGTTAATGTTATTGCTAATAATGCGAATGTTTCTATGCCACTCTGTGATGGAAATGGCACCTGCTTCGTACTCACAGTAATAGTAATAGTGAAAGATTGATGAACCTTTAAAATTTTACTTGCTGAAACATCCATAGAGTTTTTATGCTTGTTTCCTTGCGGAGATCATACATTTTTCTATGTAGAACAAATTTAAAAGTATCTCACTTACTAGTAGTCATTGTGACTACAAACCTCCGACAAGGTACACTTCACGTCAAATCTATTTGTTTAGGATAACAACGTAGTAAACAACACAACATTCAATCTATGTTCAAGGTGTTCTAACAATAGTGACGTACCTATGAATAATAGACATTCTCTTACGTAATTATTATAAATATATATTTATTTATATTGAAAATCAAAAGAAATATATAAATATTGCATTGTTATAAATTATATTATTTCTTTGTATAAATGTCATTTTAATTCATAAAAGCATAAAAATTTCGTAATACTCACTACAAAATTGAAACTTCCGCTAACGCTGTAAAGAGGTAAGATAAAGTAAGCAATTTTTTAGTTTAAATTAAACTCTTAATTTCTTGTTAGTTAAATTATAGAATATGTGTTAAAGTATTTGTCAGTAATACCTGATAGAAGATTTGTGTTATTACTCATCTTGCTATTCTAGAGCAGACAGTTGAAGTTATTGTTATTTTTATAGATCAGGTAACAGTTGTTTGGAATACCAAAAGATGCTAATGAAGAGACTGGAAGATGAAATCGAAAATATAGAAGAAAAACTCGAAGTGAAAGAAACAAAAACGGAGAAGTAGTATAAAGAATGCCTAAACAATCCCAAGAAGCACGCATAACCAGGGCTGCCCAGTGGTTAGAGGGAACATAGGGCAAACTTAAAATATTGAGACCCCTCCTAAAGTTAATAAGCCATATATAGTGGTTATTTGGAAGAAATGACTTTACCTTTAGGAAGCTCACCGACAACTAATAGTCCAATCGTCCTAAGCTATTTTGATAACACTCATATTCGTGAATATTGACATACTTTCCGTAAACTATAGAACTATCGATAAAAATTAACGAGCTTCCATTAAAAGCTAAAACTTTGATTGTAAGAGAATCTAGACTTTTTGTATTCTAATAAGCTCGACAATTCTAGTAGACCCATAGTTTTTGATGCAGTTGCTATACGGAACTCATTTCTAGTTACCACTATTCCATCCTAATTCCTTCAGTTCACCAGCTTTTTACTTACACCTCAATTCCATCCTAACTCCTTCAGTTCACCAACTTTTTACTTACACCTCGATTCCATCCTAACTCCCTTATTAAGTTATTTCATCATCTTCCTTCTTATATTCAATACACTAATGACGCCCTAGAAAAATTTGTGAATTTTGACTTAGAATCGGATCGTATCAGTTTATTCACACTTGACATAATATTGTTACATCTGTGTTCGTTTGTTAATTTTTCGTAGAAATTCTTTCAAAGAAACTTCAGCGATACAAATCTTTTTTTAAATAAAACTAGTTTATTCTTTCTCAAGTCAACTTTGCAATACACTTAATTTCCACAGTCACTTTAACTTAAACACACTCTATAATTCACAACAAACGATTCGCGCACTTTAATTACTACCGCGCTTGACTCAATTGT